TTGCTATTGCTATTGCTATTGCTATTAATTAGTTTACATAAGCAAGCCAGATGCAGCGTCCATCCTGGTACATCCTTTTATTGTCTTGAATGTGAGTGAATAGTTTCCTATTCCTTTGGAGACAGGTCTTCCCAGCAACCATTATACAGTGACAGAGCCTGAAGCTCACTGATAGGAACCATCAGGCAGCCTTTCCTGAAACACTTACCAGTTTTGACTTGGGCATCTTCACATTTCCTTTATATACTTATTGATATGTGGCTCTTGGATAGTTGATTCATAGCAAAAGTAATCCTTTTCCAAGCATAAACCAGTCATCTTAACAAGATTTATTGAAGTGAGCAAGATAGATTACTGAAATTTCCACAACTTATTTCCCACTAAAATCGATTTATCTTCCTAAAACATGGGGGCAGAGACTTTTGTCCTTTCCTTCTTGTGTCTTTTATGTATACAAACAACAAGGTGGATCTTTGTACTGATAAAGGTTGAACTTGCTGATGTTTGTTTACAAAGCTGTTCCCTGAAACTTTTGAGAAGTGACTCTTAAAATTGGCAAGAAAAATAATAGCTTCCAAGCAAGTCTTCATAATTAATTGCGATACTGTATTCTTAAATTCTTTTTTAACTGCCACAGATTTATCATACCATTCTTCAATGCGTTATCTACAATAATAAAACAGTACCAAGCAATATTAAATAAGCAAAGGTATCCAAAATTTATCTGTATTTTCTTAAGCCTGTTTTTTGAATAACAGAATTTTTCTGAAGTGCCATTCATACTTTCACATTCGATCAAGGCAATAATACCCTGCAAGTTGCCATTTCAAAGACCAGCTTTTCTGTTTGCTATTTTCTCATGTCTTAAATATTTCCAGTATAGATAGAAGCTGAAAAAATAATAATGGCATAGTAGCATGAAGCAATATCTGATTCTAACAATGCATTATTATAACAAGATGTGCTTTAAAAGTTTAAAGGTGGCCCAGATTTAAATTGGGATTGCAAAACTGGGTAACTGAAATTAAATCTTTCCTTCAGTGGCACTTTTCTAATGACAAATGCTCATACCTTTGGAGCTTGTATTTCTGAGCAAAATACAGTCTATAGATTTGATTCTATTGATAATATTTGAGTATTCTAGTATCCAGTAATGCCAAGATCATACTGAATTAAATAAACCTCACCCATGACTAAGTTGCATGCTGTTGTACATGGTGATACATAACCCTTTATAGATTGGACTGAAAGCACATTTTTTATTTATGTATTTTCTCTGACAACTGAAGGTGACGTACACCCTCATTTTATGCCCATATAAGCACTCTAAGGTAAGGCACAGAGAGAATAACTGGCCCAGAGTCATGGTATCAGCTTGTGAAAAATTATCTCTTCTTAAAAGTAGAGATGCATTTGAATCTCATGCAAAAAGAAAAGAAAAATTGCAATGCAAAAGTGCCCCCCCCCCCAAAATGAGGATGTTTACTTTGGGCCTTTTCCCCAATTGCTCTTCTATCTGAATGCAGCCTCTTGTAAAATAATTTTAAAACAATACAGGACAGGAAATTAGTATCCAGACCCTATGCTGTACCATTTGCATGCCTGTAATAACCTGTATGAGTGTTTGCCAAAGGCGATCTAATGAGTGAGTGAATCAGACTCATAGAACTGAAAGGACCTCCACAAAACTTAGGGATTTTCCTGAAAGTCTGTGCCTTCCTTTTCCATCAGTTTATTTCAAACAAAGGCATGCATGATACTTCAAAGGGAAACTGCAAGCACAACTCGCCTGCAGTTAATTTCTAGCCTTCAATCCCTGGCTTGCCTGGTGGATGTCATGTAACATCATCAGAGCTATTTAAATCATAGTATAACCACAGCGGCTATTGTTTAATTGCAATGTTTATATGTTGCAGCATATTGTTTCCTGTGGTTTTTCATTAATGTTGAATAATCTAATTTGTATCTTCTAAATGAGTCTACTTTAGCTCCATTATAATAAATTTATAATTAAATGGGTATGTGCCTGTACACACACGTGTCTATGTCTGTATGTGTATACATATGTTCACATATAGGCTGAGGAGAAGCAGGCATTACTAGCTACTAAATAAGAATAAAATCGTTCAGTCCATGGAATTTCTTCACATTTTGTTGGATGAAGTGGATTGATGTTAATCTAAAGGTTGTTTTAATTGTCACATATACTGTGATACTCTTTTCAATGCAGTGTTTCTTTGTTTTACAGAAAAAAACAATTGAAGTATATAGGACAGAGGTAATTCGTTGTAATTTGTTGTAATGTATATTGTTCATATAATCTGCATGAATACTTATGGCACATATAAATATTTTAGTCAGATTGTCAAGAATCACCTTTTGAACACATTAAAATCTTGGAAGTCTTTTTGCTTTTTTAAAAATCTATGAATAAAATGATAACCCCCACATTCCATTTTTAGCCAGACTACATACTCCTTGAATTAATGGAGCCTGTCCATCATAATCATAACTCATCACGGATGGAAAGTGGGTCAATTTTACAACCTTTTTACAGCAGTTTTTAAGCAAATCATCGCAGTTATTAAATTAGTGGTTCACTAATGGCACTGATTTGCTGGAAACTGGAAGTCAATGCTGGTTTTCCGCACAACTTTCATAAAAATGGTCACGTGATCATGGGATGCTGCAAACAGCTATAAATGCAGCCTGGTTGCCTAGTGCCCGAAGTTTGGTCATGTGACCACAGGATGGTAAAGGTCAGAACTTTGAATTTTGGTTGTTAAGTGACAACCAGGTAGTTCTGTCAGAACATCAAAATGTCACAAAATGTACAGGTAGTCCTCAACAACGGTTCATTTAGTGACTGTCCAAAGTTACAATAGCATTGAAAAAAGTGACTTTTCACACTTATGACCATTGCAGCATCCCATGGTTATGTGATCTACGTTCAGATGTTTGATAACTGACTCATACTTATGACGGTTGCAGTGTTCCAGGGCCATGTGATTGCCTTTTGCAAAACCTTCTCACAGGCAAAGTCAACGGAGAGACCAGATTCTCTTAACAACCATGTTACTACTTTAAGTGTAGTGATTCACTTAACAACTGTGGCAAGAAAAGTTGTAAAATGGAGCAAAACTCACTTAACACATTTCTCACTTAACAGCATCAATTTTGGGTCCAGTTGTGGTCGTAAGTCGAGGACTACCTGTACTGCTGTCAGGAGGCAAGTAAGATCTGGAAGTTCCTCCAGTTAGGGCTTCCTTTTTTGCATCCATTCAGAATGGCTTTATGAAATGATATGGCCTAAAGTAGAATATTCCGATTCCATCTCTGGCCATAGTAAATGATATACTCAATTGTACATCATTTAATCATTGACTTACTAGCTTCCATGGGCATCCATAGCAAACCATGAGGACATCAGAATGATAACAAACTGTACAGCTCTCCAGGTAGTCCAGGTCAGGAAAGAGACTCCACAAATCTGGCTGGTTCATTGGTATAAGCTGTGTTAACAGAATCTTCAAAGCCTGCTTGAATTCTTTCTTACGTTTTCCTCCGTTCCCTGGGCTGAAAGTGTATTTTTGCAAACATCATCTCTACCTTGTTTCTCCAAGGTTTAACTCCTTAACTCCCTACACATACATGGTGACACTATGTCACATGTGCTATAACTACTCGCGTAGAAACGCCTGCACAAGTATATAATTTACACTAAAGTATTTGCATCATGATGGGTCGGTGCTCATTTCATCATCTCCCCCCCCCCCCCCGATGTTCGGTTCCTATTAATCCCTTTACAGGTAATCCTCGATTTACAATTGCAATTGAGCCCAACTGGTAAGCTACACTGTAGTTAAGTGAGTTTTGCCCCATTCTTGCCATGGTTGGTAAGTGAATCACTGCAGTTAAGTAAGTTAGTAATAGTTATTAAGTGAATCAGGCTTCCCCACTGACTTTGCTCGACCGGTCACAAAAGGGGATCACATGATTCCAGGACACTGCAAATATCATAAATACATGCCAATTGCCAAGTGTCCAAATTTTGATCATGTGACCACAGGGATGCTGCAATGGTTGTAAGTATGAAAAATGCTCGTAAGTCACTTTTTTCACTGCCATTGTAATTTCAAATGGTCACTAAAGAAATGGTTGTAAGTTGGAAGCTGTATTCTGCCTGACAGTATAACCAATCTTTCAACTTCTCTCTTGGCTACCAATTTTCAAATGATCACATTGAGTCCATTGATGCTGTGTCATTTGCACAAAGTCATTGGACTGAAATGGCTGAGAGTTCAGTGGTCAACTAAGCCCCATCCTTCCTCCTCACTCACATTAGTGTGCTATTATTTGTCATTGCAATCATTAAAAAAGTGAAGTATCTTTTGAATTGGTCCTTCCACATGCGATGCTTAAGTTAATCCTTCTGTTGTGCCTCCAAATCGGCGGTACACTTGTCTAATCCTCACACTGATTTTAGTGCCCTTCTTGTTTCTCTGTCTTTTAAATGGAAGTCTTTGTAGGAATAATATGGCCCAGGGATGGCAGGTGACAGAAACGAGCTTGTAATAAAATGTCTCTTCAGTTTATCTCTCCTCTTTTCACTACAATAAACTTAAACTACAATTCAGAAATCTGCCTGCTGGGCATCCATTTCTTGCAAGGGTGGGTCACACACAATAACATATTGTGACCCGCCTTTGCAAGAAATCATTTCTCAGTGAATAAAGCTTGAAGTCAATTATTTGCCGTTCTGCTAACCTATGCAATATATCTTCCTTTACAGATCATGTACCTCCAACAGTCCCTCATGAAGACTGCAACAAAGTCATCTGTCTCTTTGGGAGGGTAAGGGCTGACATCTTGTATGTCTTTTAACTAATACTTTTGATCAAGCGATTTAGCCAGATGTTATCTTTTTTTAAACACTGAAAAGGTTTGTTATGATACTTAAGCTTCATCCAGAGGAGTTTATAATTAAGAATCCCCAAAGGAACTGATATACATATTCAGTAATGAGATGTGGTTGCTTAAGAAACTTTTGTAGTTCGGCAGAAGAGGAACGTGAAGCCAGGGTTAACAAAACAGTCCAGGTTTATTCAACATTAAAAAGATAACGACAGTAGGCTTCGGGGGGAGGAGCCTGCCGCCGTCGGGAGCTCAACGAAGCTCCTGTCAGGATTCTGGTTTGTATANGAGCTGTTGGACAGTACTACTTGGTCTGTTGTGTGGATGCTTGGGTGGTTTAGGGGCGGGGATTTTTTTGGTGGGGAGGGGTGTGTTTGGGGATTGTTATATGTGTTGGGTCTGGTCTCTGGGTGTTATGTGAATTTTGTTGTATGTGTATAGTGTGTATATACGTACAATGACAATAAAGTAAAGTAAAATAAGGACTGTGGTTTGCTCTCAGTTTATGGTTATGTCTGTCCATATGTTTGAATGGGAATAGTTTCAACTGAAAAACAATGAGCATCCTAGACCAAGCCAAATCCAAAAATGCTAGGGAATTTTTAGAAGACTGGAACACTGACAAATTAGCCATCAAAAGATACATAAACAATAACTATCGATTATACAAAAAAGATGGTCAACAGGGTAAAAGGGGAACAAAAAAAACCCCAAAACATTTCTCCACCAGCAATCAGCACCCAGATGAACAGATTAACTCTAAGATTAACATCGATCAACAATCAAGTAAACAACACCACAATAAAGGAATTGCCAAACAAGCCAACAGTAAACAGAGGAAACAAAGAACTTCTAAGACCACCCCCTCCAGCACTAACATGGCAAGCCACTGGGATATAAACTAAAAGCAATCCCACTCCTTACTAGCACTGATTGGTGTTACCTAGTTTTTGGATAATGAAATGTCTGCAAAAAAACAACCAGACTCAGAGAGTACCAAAGATCCCTTATTTAAACCCCTAGCTATAAATATTCTCCTGTATTGATACTGTTATTATTTAGCACTTGAACAGATAAGGTTCTTCACAAAAATATTGATCCAATTTCACCTCTACAATAAATTGCATTTTTTTTATTTTGAATGGATTTTTCTTGTCAAGAATTCATCTTCTCAGAAATGTCAAAGAATTCTCAGAAAAGCTGAACAGCAGATATCCAGTTTATTACAAATGAATAAAACAGAGCACTGAGGAGCATTTTCCTTTATTGACAAGTCTTCTACAAACTTATCTACTAAGCTTATCGTCGCAATCTCAGGAAGAAGGCATGTTTGCATTCCTTACTATCTAAAGGGTAGTATTTGTCATAAAAATCTAAAATATATTCCTCAGTTTTAAATCCAAACTTCTGATATAACAGCATTGCAGAATTACTAGCAGAGACATGGAGAGTTGCATCTTTTCCCATGCAAGTCTGTAAAAAAAGAAAAGAAAAAAACAATTATATTAAGACGGTTACATGATTCCTTTTCTTATGTTTTTTTTTGCACTTCCATCATTTATTTTAATTGTTTCATTGGTTTGCTGCTATTACATTTACATTTTTTTCTTTTGCCAGAACATTTTATTTATTTATTTTATACACATAAGCACATCAACAGAACACATAAACACATTAACAAAAATAACCACATAACT